AGGTCCGGATCGAGACAGCGGCCGGTCCGGATCGAGACAGCGGCCGGTCCGGATCGAGACAGCGGCCGGTCCGGACCGAGACAGCAGCAGGCTCCCCGCGGCCGGGGCAGCGCCGACTCCAGCCGGGCCGCGCGGGAGCGCCTGAGGGTGGGGCGGGGCTCGGGGCGGGCCTGCGGGCGGGGCGGGGCCCGGAGGGGAAGGCCACGCCCCCAGCCCGCAATAGCGCAGGACCACGTGCCAGCTCGGCCAATCAGGGTGGGGGGGACTCAGGGCGCTTTAAGAGCCGCGCGCCAGTGACCGCGCTCTGCAGCAGCGGCCGCGGCGTTGCCATGGAGACGGCGGCGGGGCCGGTCGCCATGGACACGGCGGCGCCGCCGGGCGGTCGGCGGCACGCGCTGCTCGCCGTGATCGGGGAGATCGGGACGGAGCCGGAGCGGGGCGCGCTGCGCGGCGCCCTGGAGCGTGGTGAGGAGTGGGGTCGCGGCGGAGGGTCCAGGGCGAGACGGACGCGATCCCTGTCCCTGGGAGCCACGGGGCTGCGCGCCTGCCGCCGCCTGGGACGAGGCGGAGCTGTCGGTGCCCTCCCCGCCCTGCGGCACCGCCATCTCGCCGCAGGGCTTCATCCCGCTCCTCCCGGAGGGACGGCGGCGGAGGCCCGCGGGCGGTGGCCGCGGGAAGGGTCGAGGCGCTGTCGGAGTCGCGGGGCGGAGGCCGAGGCTGAAGCCGAGCATCCCGGTAGGGGCCCGGGCAGAGGGCGAGGCCGGGCGGGGCTCGGATCCCCGGCGCAGTGCGGGGCCGGTCTCTGCGGCGTCAGGCGGCATCCGTTGCTTTTTCTTCCCTGATCATTGCTTTATATGCATTAATGACATATAGCTAACACAGTTTTCGAACTTCTTAAAGCTTAAAGACATTTCATGGTTCTCTTTCCTGTCAGACTTTATTTTATTAGTGATTTGGTGAATTGCATCTTATTTCAGTCTTACCCCAAAATTCTGTCTTGTTGGAGGAATGGTCTTGCTGGACTGTTTACTGTGATCCTAGGGACAGCTGTGAACAGGGGTCTGTTGTGGTACGGCCTCTTCCCGGCTATAGAGCAGCCGCATGGACCAGAGTGAGAGAGGACAAGCCACACAGTGAACTGCTTCAGGGGTGACACAATGCAGGATAGACCTGCCATAACATTTTCCTCCTGTTATCCATATTTTAGTAACACCCAGAGGCCTTGGCAATTAATTAGTCTTTGCATATTAGATGCAGTGTTGTTTAGAAGTAAGGGGGAAGGAGGTGGTGAGATGATAGTTCTTCCGTTGTGGCATATCCGTTTCCGATAGTTTCTGACAAAAAGACAAAGGAGAGCTGATCAACTACATCAAGACCTTAAGAGAATCCTTGTTCTAATAAGCAGTTAGTACACCTTTGAGAAATAAAGTAACAGGCTTCTGACTCACCTTCACTCCTCCCTTAGCTCCCCATTTCCAAGGCACACTGGTTTGAAATATGCCAGGGATAACAGTCATAACTATTGGCCAAACTGTCGTATTCAGAGATAATTCTGTGACTGTTTTCTTCCCAAGCATTAGCACTACTGCAGAACAGATGGGCAGTGCAATTTAAGGAAGAGGGTGGGTGTAAAAATGTCAGATATTGTCCGATTTCTTCACTTCAGCATCTTTTCCAGCTATCTGTTGGCAGGCTGCTTATCAACTCGTTCATGAGGAGTGTTTCATTCCCTTTTTATAGGATGGCTTTAGTCAGGAGTAGTAGACCTGATTATGACCCATCTGGCCTCTGAAAGACCTTCTTTGAGGGGGCCACTCCTTCTTCCTGCGCAGCAGGGTGATCATCTTCACTTGGAACTTCACTGAGCTAGTGTGCTAACCTACATCCTTATCCATTGTCTGAATCTTTGAAATGGTGACTGATCAGACTGTGAACTAAAGGATTTCACTCTGATTCTGCAGTCATATGCCAGTAACCTGAGAATTTCCACTGCAGAGGAAAAACATGCTGTTTCTGACTTAAATTGTGACTGCCATAATAAAAATGAATTCTACAGTTGGCCTTCTCTGATTAGAAACCTGCTGAAATTCTGCCAAATGTAAACATTTCTTTCATTTGCATGAGAGGAAGCCATTTCAGCAGTATTAGTAAGTTACTGTCAGTAGAAGTGAATCACTCAGGGAGCTGGAAACCTGGATTTCAATCTTTGCTCTGTCACTTACACAGAACAAGACCTCCAGAAATTAGTTTTTCCCACTACAAAATGGGAGAATGACCTCTTCTTAAAATGGACCAATATTTGCAAACTGAAAGATATGAAAAATGAGAATAGTTAAAATGACAGCAATCTTGAGACCTGTCATTATCAGCATGTTATGATGTTATAGACAACTGCACTTTTGATTCAGGGAGTTCAAGAAATGTGGAAATGATGATTCCCACTTAAGTGCTAGCTGTTGGCTGTTGCACCCTCTCTACACAAAAAAAAAGTAACCCAAATGAAGTCAACAAACAAACCCAAACAAAAAAAACCTAACAAAAAAGCCCCAAATAAAAAATAACCAAAGATATTGTTTTCTGGTCGATAGATGTCTTGCCCTGACTGATATAAAAGGTGTGTTTTTTCAGACTTCTTTCTATACCTTGATTAAGGAGTATGCAATAGCAGCTACAGGACATTATAGGAACCTGCTCATTTTCAGGTGTAGAGCTTTGTTGGCTGTGACACTGTGGGATTTCTGAACAACACTTTTTCCAAAATACTGTCTAATAAATGCTAGTTTTATTTTTCTCTTGCTGTGTTTCTTTTGTCCATTTTTGAAACAATATCCAGAAGACTAGGTGTAGTACTGGGCAGAAATGCCAAATCTTTTAAGCCAATTACCTCAGCAGGGTATAAAACATTCACAAGGGCATAAAGAATGAGATGGAAAACTGATGAGTCACATGGTCCCTTACTTAGGCTTTGCATTTGCAAAGAGCTTGAATATTTACCCTTATTGTGGTATAGTTTGCACTCTCATGACAGAGGATTCTAATCAGCAAGAACAATGTTCTTGCTCATGTGCCACGGAGTGATAAACTGGAGTTGTGGCAAACTGGGAGAGATTACAAGTAAACTCAGACAACCTGTAGGGAAAAATATGTTGAATAAATTGTCGCAATGTTGTTGCTCTTGTATGAGAACAAGTTAGATAATTCCACTCTTTCCTTTCTTGCTCTGAAAGAGCATCTATGCTTTCTGCATCCTAGAGGATGTAGCAGTACCTCAAATAGCACTTATTGCTGCAGTAGGACACGGTGACCATGACACAGCAGCTAGTCAGCAGGATTTGCCCTGCAGAGTTCCACCTTGTTCCTGTCCAGGTCAGAACGCTCATAAGTACTGCATTAAGATTCTCTTATACTGGACACATGTTTAAACAATTATGTTCTATTGGAGTGTAGCATAGGAAAACATTTTGTCCATCTTCTTGCTCCATGTCTTTTTATTATGTGTTTTGTTGGTTCGTATCCCATGTCCAAATTGAAAGGCACTGTGCTGGTAAGTTGTTAAAGGTTGTTTGGTTTGGTTTGGTTTGGTTTTTTTGTTTGGTTGGTTTGGGTTTTTTTGGTTTTTTTGTTGGGGGGTGGGGTGTTTTTTTGTTTGTTTTGTTTGTTTCTTTGCTGTTTTTTATTTTTCTTTTTCTGAAGTTCACAGGATTTACTGGGGAGTTTTTGTGCAGTCTGAAGTGCAGGCTATCAGCACATAAATAAGCTTTGTTAATGTATTGTTTCAGCTGTCACCAGAAAAAGAAACTGAGCACAAAGTTTTTTTAGCTGCTGTGGATTGTACAGGCCTTGAGAGTACTGACCTGTGTGATGCAATGATTACTGTGTATGGGTATGTGTAGAAAGCTGGAGCATGTATCCTCGAGGATCCTCTCCTGCCAGTGGTCAGTAAAAGCTCTTGCACAACATGGAGAACTAGAAATGCAGTAAATGGGCATGATATCTCCATGGAAAATTAACATGGTTATGTTGAAAGAAAGCAGACAATAGAGGTAATAAAACTTTGTATTTTATGCAAGAGAGGTGGTGAAAGAGCTCTCAATCAGGACTCCATCAATGAATACTGAAGCTGAAATTCTTGTTTCTGTTAACCTTAGAAGTCTGTGGCATCAGCCTTCAACAGCTGAACATCACCAGGCATCAGCACCAGATGCTGGAGTAGGGATTCCTAGTGATATCCTGCTTTGGTTATGGCACAGTGTAGAGTCACACCATTTAGGAAAGGCTGCTCCCTACTGGGATATGAAAATCTGTGGTCTGTAGGTGTCCTCCAGAATGTATACCTGCTCACATTGAGGTCTGAAGGTGACTTCCCCAGAATGGCTTGCTGCCACTAGCTCTGGGAGCAGAAGCACCTTCTTGCTGTGATATGAAGGCAATTAGCTGGCAAAGATTATAAAGATTAAAGAATAGACTCAAATTGTCTCAGTGGGATCAGTGTCTCTGAAGGAGTTGGATGGGTGGGGGCTTTTGTGACTTGGAGGATGCCTAGGCTATAAGACCAAAGAAGCTGATGTCTCTGAGCTTTTCAGTAGCACAACCACACAGTAGCCCATCTCTACTGGTGACTAGTGCTGGAGAATGCAGATGTAAAACTAACATAATGTATTTGTTTGGTTAAGCAGTAGTGTAATTTATTTGGCCTCATCTCTTGTTGGTTTTTCTTGCATGAAGTCCAAGTTGAATGGAGACTTGCTCACTGCATGTCCCTCAGGAAGAAATGTTTTATGGAAGGTAAGTATCTTACGGTCCTCGGCTTCTGAAGACTTTCTCCATCCTAAGTATGCTCATCTGGTAGAGCTGGTAGAGCATCCTTGGTCCTTGTGTGTCCTGCTCATTTCTCTTTCTCTGCTTCCTCTTTCTGGAGTAGATGTAATGACAATGACAGCTTACTTTTTCCTTTTTTTTTTTTTTTTTTTTCTTTTATTGACAGGAATTCGTTCCTGGAACATTAATACTCTGTACTGTGATCTGAATCGTCAACTGCGGCTCTTTGTAACCCGACATCTGGCTCAGTTTTCTTCTGAAGTCAAAGGTCAGCTTTTTGGTTTACATGCATTAACTTTTAACTCTTGTTTTGGGTCTGGAAAAAAAAAAACAAAGCAACAACAAACAATAAAACTGTTTGCGATTCAATTAGTGACTTGTTTGCCCAGGATTCTGCCAAGCTGAATGCAAAAGAAAAGCAGTCTTAATGGTATGTTGGATGCAATGAATGTACCTTAAAATTACAGATCTTACTACTGAGAATAGAGTTGAATAGAAATATGTGTTGCTTTAAAGCCTATTAAACTAGTTAGAAGTTAGGATCTATCTATCTATCTATCTATCTATCTATCTATCTAATCTATCTATCTTTTGTATCTTATTCAGGTGGCACAAAATAGTTTACTTTGTAAGCTATTCATTATCAATGTCTTCCTGTTAGGTTTTAGAATATGTTTTCATATGCACAAAAGGTGTTGCAAGTAGTGTGTAGGAATAGCCAAATGACTTTTTGGATTCCTCTTTTTGAAGCTCCCTTTCCTGAGAATAACGAATAAGAGCATTATAAAAATGGCATAAACCATTAGAAATTAGGCTTGCTTGGCATGTGAAAAGCTTGAACTCTGTTTATAATACTTTTATGTAACATATGGTAAGTTACTACAGTAAGCACAGATGACACTTGCAAAACCCGGTTTATATAAGATCATAATATAGCTCACTGTATGTTTTATGCTCTTGTCAAAGCCTCTGAATTTTTCCAGTTGGGGAAGCTGTTCTCCTAAAGGACAGCTGCAAAAGAAAGTACCTGGACTCTTCTCAAATGTGCCACTGACTGAGAGGTCTCACCTTCTCTATGACTTTTTAATATGGCGATGGAAATTCTCCCTCAAGACACATCAAGATGGTGTGTGTGTGTGTGTGTATACACTTATGGGACTAAAATAATGTGTATGAAACATATAATTTGAAACACTCAGCAGATCTGTCTCAATTTGAAGAAGCTGTAACAGGTCTTATAGTACACCTAGACTAGAGCACAAACAAGTTACCATGAGTATAACATTTTCCCAAGAATTCTTCTAAGTCAGAGTTGAAATATCTGGATTAATGTTAGCGAAATGTATCCCACTCACTTCCCTAGCGTAGTCTCTGAGGAGCAAGGGGTGTGTTGGCAGTCTATGAAGAGGTTTCTGTGACGGATTTGGGGAACTGTATTGAGCAAAGCAGCAGCAACTACAGTATAAGGCAGGATTAGTGTCTATCTGGGAGGAGTCATCATTGGTTCTGCAAAGGGAAGTTCTGCTTTTCAAATGTCTTGTAGCACTTCAAAGAGATCAGCAAACATGTAGATGAGTGATTTAAACTACCAAGCAAAAATATTTGGGGGATCTAAGTCTATGAAGTCTGTTTAAGAAAGCCTATTGGCACAGGATTAGGGACCAGGCTTTGGTATGCAGAAGTTACTGACAGAAAGATTAGTAAACAGGAGTTCTGATATAAACTGTGTGTAGAGATTTTGTCCTGAACTGGAGGCTTGCAGCTTAACCTGGTGTTAGTCGTGGTGCCACTCTTTAGAGCCATCATCACATACCTGCAGAGTTTCCTGTGGGACTCTACATTCCAGCTAGCTCTGCACAGTATCTCTTTGCTCTAGTACATTTTTTGGGAAAGGAAAAGCATAGCTGCCTCTCAGCAGCTTCTGCTTCTGATGGGATTAGCAGTAGAGTATGAGAGATTCTTGTCTGGGGATCTAGCAGACATGGATTGGCCTTTGGACCAGACGTATTTCTATAGGGGCTCCTTGGTTTGTGGCAAGTGTGTACAGCTGGCACACTGTCCCTGGCAACACTTAAGGTCAGAGCAGCCAGACAGAGAAAGGCTTTGGGATTACGGGGGTCTTAGAGAGCAGCTTTGCCTCAAGTTAGATACTTGCACATTTCCTGTCTGGACCCATGTTTGTTCAGAAAGAATGGATCTTGAAATGCAGCAAGATGCTCTGCCAGAGGCAAAAGGAGTGTGTGTGAGAAAAATGGCTACAATTTAAAATGTGTTAAGCAGCTGTATAGGACTGTGGAAAATAATGATAGTCTGTTCAGGAAGATTGTGCAGGAGATAGTGTATCTTGAATGCTGAAGGGCTTAAATTGAGGAGTTATGCTATAATCCCAGGATTTATTTGATGGTGCTAGATCATGCATGCAGGCAAGTTTCTCTCAGTGACAGCAGTAAGCTATGGTTATGGCATGGTTTGTGGGGAGGAAGTGGGAAAGACTGTTACAAGAGAAATTTCAGGTTACAACTGATAATACAATCTAGAAGAAGCTCAAAATGTAAACTGGGAACAGTCTTGTCTGCATTCCATATGTGCTATCAGATAATACCCTTTGGAATACAGCTGCAGTTTTAAATGCTCTTTTAGCTTTGCAGTTTCTGCTTGAGCAGCTATTTTTTACTGACTACTTTGATGGTAAAGAATCTTTATAATTTTATTTTTTTTTAAGTATTTGCTGCGACTTCCTGAAATTCATTGTTGTGTATCCTGTAACAGCCCTGTGAAGGTGTTCATCACTATTCTCCATAGGAACATACATAAAACTAGAACTTTTATATTATTGTTTGGCTCTACACTTTACTTACCCTCTTGTTCCTACTGTGGGCAAAGGGAAGAGTGCCTGCAACTGATTTTCCTCTTAGCATTGGTGCTAGCTTCTCTGAGCAGAAGGCTGTACTAGAGCTCTCCTGAAATCCCTTCCAGCTAATGTTGTTTTGATTCCATACTACTTGAAAGATCCCAGTCTGGCTTGTGTGGGGGACATGTACCTCCACACTGGTATGTTGAGTAGGATATCTGAAGGATTCTTTTCAGAGGTGCATTAATTGGAGAATATCGTTCCCTTAAAGGCTGATGTTTACAGTCTGATTAGGGAGAAGGCAGCTGAAGCACAGCAGTTTCTGTAAGCCTAGAGTCGGTCTTTGACCTTCTGTTTAATGCAGAAGGTTTCTCATTTGGCAGACTTGTGACACCACTGGCAAAAAACAAAAGATGGACACTGGTAATACAATATGGCTAAGTAAAGGAGTCTACCAGAATATTCCAAGACTTTGCAATTTCTCACTTGGTTACAATAGTTATTTCAAACCTGTATTTATAGGATGTTAATGCGTAGAGTTTGCAGCTGAAGTTAAAATGTAACTGTAGTGTTCTGTGGGAATGGAGATGGCACAGTTATCCCTCAGACAAGCTTTTAGTCTGCTTAAAGATGATGAGGAGCAAAAGAGCCTCAAATGCAGAACAATCAAGAAGAGAAAAGCTCAGAGCAGAGCTTGTAAAGGGATACTGAATGCATCTTATGGAAGTTGATTTGTTGCTGGGGTTTTGAGTTTCTTTTTACCCCACACTGACTTGCTGGCTGTTCTCTGAGTACCACAGACAACATGGCCCATTCTGTAAGGGTAATCTCACAGCATAATTCACAAGTTATGGAGGGGAGGCACAGCAAGAAATCAAGTGTGGATGTATTTGGAGTTTCTGGAAGCTGGTGAATTGTCTGAAGGAAGGAGAGTGTGATATGAGGAGAAAAAATGAACAGAAGTGTATCCTCCTGTATGCTAAGGACAGCCCCAGGTGCACTTCTGCACAACTCCCAGTCACTACTGGCTGCCAAAGCAGTTTAAGTTCATGGGCAATGTCTCCTTGTACTGGATGGTAACAATTCTTTAAAACCAGGAGGGAATGTCTCTTTCAAATAAGAAGTGACATGGTTTGAGGTGAGGTGCTTAAAATAATTATTTCTCAGCACAAGGGAAGTATGCGTTCTGATATCTGTTGATTCTGATGTTCAGAGAAAACCACTTTTTTCTGAAAATAGTTAACTCCATGAATATTAGCAGCTGCTTTCAGTCTGACTTAGGGGTTTTAAATACCTCAACCATCCCAGTGGTCTTTTCTCTCAAGCTGTACTTTGTGTTGACCTTCAAAAAACTTTTTAAAAATAACTAATGACATAATTGAAAAGCAAGCTATTAAAAATACCATGCAGGTTGAATTTGATGGAAAAAATTCTTGAAATAATCCAACATTGATTATATACTTTTCTTGCCTCTGTAAAAGGAATATGAGAAATATTAAACACATTCAAGTATTAGCTTGCATTTTCCTTTGCAAACATAATGTTTTACACTGAAAGCCATCAGTAAGTTGAATAACTAGCTGCCTTGCCAGCAGATGGCCTTCAGGCTATGAAGCCTTTCATATTCAGCCTAACACTCATTCTTCACATCCTACTGATGCCTTTTACACTTTGTGCCAATTGAGGATTGAGGATATAACACAGTTATATCTGCCACAGCTATCTGAGAATATAGTGAAGCTGTGTTACAGTTCTTGAAAGCAGCTGTCTTTTGGATGAGCACTCCTAGAAGGCTTTTAACTTGGACTAGGAGAAGAATTTGGTTTTACTGCCTTTCTGGAACATACAGGCAGCTACAAAGAGGATAAAGGCTTTCCCTTCACAAGGGGCAATGAGTCAAAGTTGCATTGGGAGAGTATTGAAGTCAGGTAAGAATTTTATTATTTTTTTACTGTGAGAAAAATTGGTCACATGTGAAAACCTCCCAGGGACATGGTAGAGTCCCATCATTGAAGGTTTTCAAGATGTAATTGTACAGGGTGTTAGATGTATAATCTCTGTTCGGTTTCCCATGAAGTTGAAACAGACAATCTTTTGAGGCCCCTTCAAACCTTGGCTGTTCTGTGCTTCTATGTATTCAGCTTTGCAACAGTGAAAGGACAGGGACTTTTAGTCCTGGAACAAACCAAGCTGTTAACTTACAAATCTAGTAATAAGAAAAGGCAAATACACAAGCCCACCATGCACATCTTTATCTCAAAGTCTGCATTTGGTCTTCCTTTTGCATTAATATTCCATAGGTCAATGTTTTTATGTGTTTGCGAGTGGTTCAATTTCTTTGTGGAACTTGGAATGGCTTGGAGTTTGGCTTGTGCCATATGCTTTTTTCTACTGAACTGCTTAGCTGGTCTTCAGTG